GACATCCCTGCTTTTCCCTGGATAGGGAATTCTGAGGAAGGGAAGGAAAGGAGGGAAGGAGGTGCCAGATCCAAGGATTCATCAGTTCTGGAATCTTGGAATCCCGAATCCTTTGGAAGCAGGGATTGGGATCTGCCAGCAGGAGGTGTGGGATGGGAAGAGACATCCCTGCTTTTCCCTGGATAGGGAATTCTGAGGAAGGGAAGGAAAGGAGGGAAGGAGGTGCTGGATCCAAGGATTCAGCAGTTCCGGAATGGGAAAGTTTGGAATCTGGGATTGGCATCTCCCAGCTGGAATTTTGGTGGGTCTGGAATCCCCTGGAGGTGAAGATGTGGATGGGGATCCACAGGAATAATTCCTGCTTTTCCTGGATTGGGAATCCCTGAGGAAAACAGGGAAGGAGCTGCTGGATCCAAGGATTTGGGAATTCTGGACTCTTGGAATCCCGAATCCTGTGGAAGCAGGGATTGGGATCTGCCAGCAGGAGGTGTGGGATGGGAAGAGACATCCCTGCTTTTCCCTGGATTGGGAATTCTGAGGAAGGGAAGGAAAGGAGGGAAGGAGGTGCTGGATCCAGGGATTTGGGAATTCTGGACTCTTGGAATCCCGAATCCATTGGAAGCAGGGATTGGGATCTGCCAGCAGGAGGTGTGGGATGGGAAGGGACATTCCTGCTTTTCCCTGGATTGGGAATTCTGAGAAACGAAAGGAAAGGAGGGAAAGAGGACAGGGAAAGTTTGGAATCTGGGATTGGCATCTCCCAGCTGGAATTTTTCCCTCCTGGGAAGGATTTTGGTGGCTCTGGAATCCCCTGGAGGTGAAGATGTGGATGGGGATCCGCAGGAATAATTCCTGCTTTTCCTGGATTGGGAATTCTGAGGAAAAAAAGGGAAGGAGGTGCTGGATCCAGGGATTCAGGAGTTCCGGAATTTTGGAATCCCGAATCCATTGGAAGCAGGGATTGGGATCGGCCAGCAGGAGGTGTGGGATGGGAAGAGACATCCCTGCTTTTCCCTGGATTGGGAATTCTGAGGAAGGGAAGGAAAGGAGGGAAAAAGGACAGGGAATGGTTGGAATCAGGGATTGGAATCTCCCAGCTGGAATTTTTCCCTCCTGGGAAGGATTTTGGTGGCTCTGGAATTCCCTGGAGGTGAAGATGTGGATGAGGATCCGCAGGAATGATTCCTGCTTTTCCTGGATTGGAATTCCTGAGGAAAAAGAGGGAAGGAGGGGCTGGATCCAAGGATTCAGGAGTTCCAGACTCTTGGAATCCCAAATCCATTGGAAGCAGGGATTGGGATCGGCCAGCTGGAGGTGTGGGATGGGAAGGGACATTCCTGCTTTTCCCTGGATTGGGAATTCTGAGGAAAAGAGGGAAGGAGGTGCTGGATCCAAGGATTCAGCAGTTCCGGAATGGGAAAGTTTGGAATCTGGGATTGGAATCTCCCAGCTGGAATTTTTCCCTCCTGGGAAGGATTTTGGTGGCTCTGGAATTCCCTGGAGGTGAAGATGTGGATGGGGATCCGCAGGAATAATTCCTGCTTTTCCCGGATTGGGAATCCCTGAGGAAAACTGGGAAGGACGTGCCGGATCCAGGGATTCCCCATTCCCAAACCAGGAAAGGTTGGAATCAGGGCTTGGCATCTCCCAGACGGAATTTTGGTGGCTCTGGAATCCCCTGGAGGTGAAGATGTGGATGGGGATCCGCAGGAATAATTCCTGCTTTTCCTGGATTGGAAATCCCTGAGGAAAACAGGGAAGGAGCTGCTGGATCCAGGGATTCAGGAGTTCTGGACTCTTGGAATCCCGAATCCTTTGGAAGCAGGGATTGGGATCTGCCAGCAGGAGGTGTGGGATGGGAAGGGACATTCCTGCTTTTCCCTGGATTGGG